ATATGTGGGCAGTTGTCCATTGAATCTAGCTGAATCAAATGCAGCTAACTTTAATTGGCTGAGGTTCTAAGGCTACTTAGTGTGGTACTCCTGAGGCAGATAATCATATTTCTTATTGGGAAACTAATGGGGGAGATAATTACAGGAGAAACCCAGTTAGATGTTTCCTTTATCATGGACATCTGTCATCAACCTTGCAGAATCGATTGGAATGGAAATTTTGATGAACTGTTTTTTAAAGAAAATACAAAATTTCTGTTTTTGAAGGATTAGTGTTCAATATTTAAAAAATTTTAAATACTTTTTTCCAGTTACATGTAAAATTTTTTAACATTCATTAAAAAAAAATTGTTTCAAATTCTCTCCCTCCCCCATTGAAAAGTTTGATATAGGTTATACATGTGTAGTCATGTAAAACATTTCCATATTAGTCATGTTGTGAAAGAAAACACAGATAAAAAGAAAAAGAAAGTTTAAAAAAAGTATGCTTCACTCTTATTTGGATTCCATCAGTTCTTTCTCTGGATGTGAGTAACGTTTTTCATCATAAGTCTTTTGGAATTGTTTTGGATCATTGTATTGCTGAGCAGAGCTAAGTCATTCATAGTTGATCATTGCATAGTGCTGCTATTACTGTGTACAATGTTCTCCTTGTTCTGTTCACTTCACTCAGCATCAGTTCATGTAAGTCTTCCCAGGTTTTTCAGAAATCAGCCTGCTCATCATTTCTTATACCACAGTAATCTATCACAATCATATTCCACAGTTTGTTTGGCCATTCCCCAGTTGATGGGCATCCCCTCAATTTCTAATTCTTGGCCATCACTAAAAGAGCTGCTATAAATATTTTTGTACATGTGGGTTCTTTTCCCTTTTTTATGATCTCTTTAGGATACAGACCTAGGTATTGCTGGGTCAAAGGGTAAGCAGTTTTATAGCCCTTTGGGCATAGTTCCAAATTGTTATCCAGAATGATTGGATCAGTTCACAACTCCACCAACATTGCTTTATGTCCCAGTTTTGCCACATCCTCTCCAACATTTATTATTTTCTGTCATATTAGTTGTCTGATAGGTGTGAGCTGGTACCTCAGAGTTGTTTTAATTTGCATTTCTCCAATCAATAGAGGTTTAGAGCATTTTTTCATGAGTGTAGATAGCTTTGATTTCTTTGTCTGAAAACTGCTCGTTCATATCCTTTGACTATCAGTTGGGGAATGACTTTCATTCTTATAGATTTGACATGATTCTCTTATATATTTGAGAAATGAGGCCTTTATCCAAGAAACTTGTTCAAAAATTTTTTTTCACAGTTATGATTACTTTGTATTTCCCTCCATCCTACTCCCTCACCCCGTTTATCCTTCTCTCTCTCTTTTCACCTTCTCTTTTCACCCTATCGCTCTGCCATAGTGTTTTACTTCTGACCACCACCTTCCCCGTTGTGCCTTCCTTTCTATCAGTTTTCCCCCAACTCCCCCTTTCTCTTATCCCCTTTCTCTCCTACTTCCCTGTAGCGTAGCATAGATTTCTTTACTCAAATGAGTGTGTATGTATTCTGTCTTTGAGCCGCTTCCAGTAAGAGTAAGGTTCAAATGTTGTCTAGCCTCCCACCCCTCTTTGTCTCTCCACTGTAAAAGCTCTTTCATGCATCTTCTTTGTCAGATAATTTACCCCATTCTACCTCTCCTTTCCTCCTTCTCTCAGTGCATCCTTTTCTCACCCCTTAATTTTATTTTTTAGATATCATTCCATCATAGTCAACTCACATCCATGCCCTCTGTCTGTATACTCTTTCTGACTGCCCTAATAATGATAAAGTTCTTTGAAGTTACAAATACATCTTCCCATTAGGAATGTAAACAGTTTCACTTTTTTGAATCCCTTATGATTTCTCTTTCCTGTTTACTTTTTTATGCTTCTCTTGGGTCTTGTATTGTCAGATTTTCTGTTCAGCTCTGGTCTTGGGTCTTTTCATCAGGAATGTTTGAAAGTCCTCTTTCATTTAATATCCATTTTCCCCCCTGAAGGATTACACACAGTTTTTACTGGTTAGGTGATTCTTGGTTGTAATCCTAGCTCCTTTGCCCTCCTGAATATCATATTCCAAGCCCACTGATTGTTTGATGTTGTTTAGTCATTTTTCAGTCACATGCAACTCTTTGTGACTCCATTTGGGGTTTTTTCAGCAAAGATATTGGAGTGATTTGCCATTTTCTTCCTCAGCTCATTTTACAGATGAAAAAGTGAGGCAAACAGGATTGAGTGACTTGCCCAAGGTCACACAGCTAGCATGTGTCTGAGTCCAGATTTGAATTTAGGGAGATGAGTTTTCTTGGCTCTAGGCCTGCACTCTATTCACTGCACCAGCTAGCTGCCCTGATCCTTTAATACAGAAATTGCTAAATTTTGTGTTATCCTGATTGCAACTCGACAATATTTGAATTGTTTCTTTCTGGCTGCTTGCAGTTTTTCTCCTTAACCTGGGAACTCTGATAGTATTCCTGAGAGTTTTCATTTTGGGAACTTTTTCAGGAGATGATTGGTCAATTCTTTCAATTTCTGTTTTGCCCTTTGGTTATAGGATATTAGGGCAGTTTTCATGGATAATTTCTTGAAATATGATGTCTAGGCTTTTTTGGTCACGGCTTTCAAGTAGTCCAGTAATTTTTGTGTTATCTCTCCTTGATCTACTTGGCAGATCAGTTTTTCTAATAAGATATTTCGCATTTTCTTTCATTCCTTTGCCTTCATTTTGTGGTTTCTTGATGGCTCATGGATACACTGGCTTCTACTTGCCCAATTGTAATTTTTAAGGAATTATGTTCTTCAGTGAGCTTTTATACCTCCTTTTCCATTTGTCCAATTCTGTTTTGTAAGAGTTCTGTTCTTCAGTGAATGTTTGGACATTCTTTTCCATTTGGCCAGTTCTGTTTTTTAAGGACTCCTTTTTGTCAGTGAATTTGTCTATATTTTTTCCATTTGGCATATTCTGCTTTTTAATGAGTTCTCTTTAGTGACATTTGTCCCTCTTTTAACCATTTGGCCTATTCTGGTTTTTTAAGATGTTATTTTCTTCAGTACTTTTTTGTGTCTTCTTTACCAAACTGTTGAGTCTTTTTTCGTGATTTTCTTGTTTTTCTCATTTCTTTTCCCAGTGTTTCTTCTTGAGTTCTAAAATCCCTTTTCTGCTGTTTCAGGAATTTTTTTTTTGAGGCTTTGAATACAGCTATGTGTTGTCTTCTTCTGAGTTTGTGTTTTGATCTTCCCTTGACCTTAATTTCCCTCAGTCTCCCAGTCAGCTTGTGTTTGGTATTTACTTCATGAATTTGGCGCTCTGTTCTAGATATTTATCAAGTACATAATATTTTCCTTTAGGTTAATTTACTGTTTTCTTTACAACTTACATTTATTGATATTTCAGAAATTTTGGGTGATACTTTCATTTAACTTGTGATGCCTGACTTTGATTTGCAGACTACTAGAGTTTAAGAACTCCTTAAGTTGAGTGCACAAATGTTAATTTGTGAACAAAATCATGTATGCCTGGCATCCACTGAAATCCTGCATCTTGAACTTTCAAATATACTTTTTTTTTCCTCATTAGCTTTAAAGTATTCAGATGTGTCTGCATACTTGAAAAACTGATGTCAAATTTTATTGAAAAAATTATTTAATATAAGAATAAAACCAGTGTAATTAAAATACTAAGGCTATTTGGTTAAATTATGACTTACTAAAGACCAGATGAATCTGTTTCCTTTCAGTCTTAGTTTCTATTTATAGACAGCATTGTTCTTGAAAAGAATACAGATATTTATTTCTTGTTCTACTTTGTGATTACCTATGGAGGAAGCACAGTTTTGTGAAAAGTATTATGTAGAGAGGTGAACAGTTGGAATTCATTCAGCTTCTAAGCTCTGCTACTTACTCTACTCTTAGTCATTTCCTTATGGTCAAATGAGATTTTTAGGTGTTGGTTTTTTTTTTTTCTGCCTGTCAGGCTTGAAGGAAAGAGATTATGAGCTCTATGGCAAGGATTCTTTCAATTTTTGATTATATCCTTAGCATCAAGTATAGTATCTTGAACTTCATAAGTGTTTATCTGAAGTTTAGTAGAGATCTTTTAATTTAGCTCAATAAACTTTTTCTGTAGCTATGTGATTGATTTCATTGTAGTTTTAGCAGTTTTTTTTAAACTGCAAAATACTATAAGGCAATTATTTAGGCATTACTTTTATTGTTTGAGAACTATGTACTGATGTTTCCTAATTGTTTTGGCAAGGGCTATGGTTGAGATGTGGATATGACTGGGGCAGTACATACCTACCAATCCAGAGGGCACTCTTGCCTTTACTTTGGTCAGAGATTAGACCAGGCTTGTGTGATTTTTTTCAAACTCCTGGTGAGAATGTTCCCTTTACCATTACAGATCAATCCACTTTGTGGCTTAAACAGAAGAGAGTTGCCCAAGGGCACTGAGAGGTTAAGTGATAATGTCCGAGTCAGACAAGCAGACTCTGAGGACAGCTCTCTGTCCACTAGGCCCTGCTGCCAATATCACGGTTTTAAGAAATGGGATTAGAGAGGGTGGTGAAGTTCTGAATGAGAAACTTTCTGGGCAGTGAGTCAGACTGCTGACTTTGGATGTGCTAGAAGACACAGAGCCAGCACGTGTTGGTGGACCGAGTGACTGCGTGAGAGCCTCCATTTCCTCATCTGCAGAATGGGGGTGATACTAATTCTCAGGGTGGCTAGGCAGGTTCTTTGAAAACTCTTAAGAGACCGTAGAAATGTGAGCTTTTCTTATTGAAGGGGATGGAGTGTGCCCCATTGTGTGTCGGCACAACTTCATCTTATGAGTCAGGCTGCGCGGTCCCTTCCCGTGCGGCGGGGCCAAGAAACCAGATGCAGCTTTACCAATTCCTTACAGCGTTGTGACTGTTAATATGTGATTGATTGCAGAGTGCTTCTTCTTAAAAGCTTTGTTCACTGTTTTAGGTTTTATACACGTTGGAAAGAGTGGGAGTCGTGGTATTCTCAGAGCTTTGGTTTACATTTTTCCCTCAGAGAAGAACAGTGGCAGGAAGATTGGGCATTTATACTCTCTCTTGCTAGTCAGGTAAGAACACTTGGGGCCGGAAGCCTTCCTGTTGTTATGTGTTCTATGTTGTTACAGATGTTAGTAGCAGTGCACAGAGTGAGGGGCTCCGAGTCTGTAAGACCTGAGTTCAAATCTGGACTCAGACACTTACTTACTGGCCGTGTATCCCTGGGCAAGACCTCTGTCTGCCTTGGTCTCTTCACCTGTAAGATAGGGATGATAATAATAGCACCTCTCAGGGTTGTTGTGAGGAACAAATTCCACAATCATTGTAAATAGTAAGCACTATTTAAATGTTAGCTTTTATTATTATGTAAGTATGAACAAACCCCATGGCACAGCTCCTGCCCAAAGCGTGACTGCAGGCAGAGATGCCGAATTGGTGAATGAAGTACTGAAGTTAACAGTCCCCAAATCGGAACACCTGTAGTTATAGCAGAAACTAATACACGGTTGGCAGTATTTTAGTATTAACTTTTTAAATCAGGATGGCAATTCTTGGGCGTGTTTTTTTTTTGGATGAGGCTATTGGAGTTAAGTGACTTGCCCAGAGTCACACAGCTAGGGAGAGTTAGGTATCTGAGGCCGGATTTGAACTCGGGTCCTCCTGACTCCAGGGCCAGTGCTCTATCCATTGCATAGCTGCCCCTATTTTTTTTTTTTAAAAAGAAAGTCCTCAGAAATGAATGCATGTAATCATGCAGTTTCTCTTGGACCCCCCGCCCCCATTTGTTAGCTCTTCAGAAAGAATGTCATTTTAAAAAAGTTTTATTGATGCCTTTTATTTTAACATCAATTGTTTTAAAATCAGCCAACACAGTGCCCATGACCGACAATAGTATAGAATGTTCCATACCAGCAGCCTCTCCCTCTTCTTACTCCTTGTGGAACATTTCCTCATATTTTTTCTGGGTCCAGGATCATTATAATTTCACAGTAAAGAACATTGCTTTTTTGGCCTTCTTGCACAGAGTTGTTTTAGAGTTGTAGAATCCTATCCTCTCTAAGACATTACACTATGTCGATTTGAAGCCCTGTCATTTTTAGACAGACAGTCACAAAACTCTGCTCCTCTGTGCATCTGAGAAAAGGCTCAAATGACACATCGTCCCACTGGGAGTTTTGTGCCTGGTGGCATGTACTGGAAAACATCTCTGCGTTATGATTTACACTAAGTGTCTTTATCTTGAAAGATAAAGATCTTGGTCCCTAGCATTATAGAAAGTGAGGTCCCTTGTAGCCTCTGAAGATGGCTGTTTGTGGTGTCTGCATTCGCTGTTGTAGTCTGTATATCAGAAGACCTAATCTCTAACCTCTGTGGCTTCACGTTCTCCTATTGTGTTTTCCTTTCCTTTGCTTGGTTTGCTCCTAAAACCTGAAAGGAGAAATTGTTCTTTTTTGTGTTTTGCACAGCCTGGAGCAAGTTTGGAGCAGACACACATTTTTGTACTTGCACATATTCTTAGACGACCAATTATAGTTTATGGAGTCAAATATTATAAGAGTTTCCGTGGAGAAACTTTAGGATATACCCGTTTTCAAGGTAAGCCATTTGGTAATACTGCATTGTTACACTGTTGCTTGGGGCCCATTGCAGTTTCTTTCTTGTCACATTCTTATATATTGATGGATGGCGGGAAGGTCTCATGCTTGTTTTTCCTGTATTCCCCCAAATTTGGAGTAGATTATGGTGAAAGGAAAGTTCTAGCATGAATTGAAGTAGATTGAGGATGTGGGAGTGGGAGTAATGGATAAGCTGGTGGGGTCAGAGTGATGCTAGGGGGCAGACTGTACTTCTAGAAGTACCCCGTGTACTTCCTGACTGTACCTTTTCCCCAGGTGTGTATTTGCCTCTGCTCTGGGAACAGAGTTTCTGCTGGAAGAGTCCCATCGCTCTGGGCTACACGCGGGGCCACTTCTCGGCCCTGGTTGCCATGGAGAATGATGGCTATGGTAATCGAGGCGCTGGTGCTAACTTGAACACAGATGACGATGTGACCATCACTTTTTTACCTTTGGTCGATAGTGAAAGGAAACTATTGCACATACATTTTCTCTCTGCTCAAGAGGTAAGAAGCAGTTCCATGAACAAGGGGTCCCCCACTTTGGGCAGAGTTTAGGAGTGAACCTACCCCTGCTGACAAACCTCATGGATTACGTAATAACACTTAGACGCCCTCCTTCCTACGGTTCTCCTGCCAGTTCGATGCAGCTGTGCCTGGGGTCCTTGGGCTTATGGCAGCCACCCTCACAAAACCAAATACCATGACCCTGACCCCAGAAGTGTTCAGTTGGTTTTCTGGAGTTTACTTTGATTTCCCGCCTTCTGTGTTCTGAATATCATGGTTTGTAGTATCGACAGATCTTTCAGTAGCATAAAATTCCTATGACAAATCAGAACGGTTTGTCCTCTGGCCTTCTTGTTAGTCATCTGTTGTATAATAGTAGTAAAATTTACAACATGAAAATGCTACTGTGCACGTGTGTGCATCACCAGCACACACATGCACACACGTGTGCACGCACACACACACGCGCTCTCTTGCCCTGGCATCCCCAGTGGGTAGTGGTGGGCCAGGTGTGAGGAAGCTCTCTGTGCAAGGTCTAGATGCTGCTTTCTGTCTTCTCTCTCCCCTCCCCAAGCTTGGCAATGAGGAACAGCAGGAGAAGTTGCTCCGGGAATGGCTGGACTGCTGTGTGACAGAGGGCGGCGTGCTTGTCGCCATGCAGAAGAGCTCCCGCCGGCGCAATCACCCCTTGGTCGCGCAGATGGTGGAGAAGTGGCTTGACGGGTACCGCCAGATCCGCCCTTGCACGTCGCTGTCGGACGGAGAAGAAGATGAAGACGAGGAGGACGAGTGAGGCGGTTGGGGAGTGAGCTGTCCGTGCCACGGTTTGGTGGATGCCTCAGAGTTGGGGTCATGCTGCAAGCAGTCACTCCGGGATGAACTAGCAGCTAGCAGACACCCGCTGTCCCAGGGAGTTTCTGATCCGTACGCCATGGAGAGAACACAAGTGCGCATCTGCTGTGCGAACACAGAACTCTGGTTGGACTGGAGTTTGTAAAAAGCTAATTTTATTATCAAGACAGAACATTTTGTTTTTTTCCTTTCAAATTGTAAATCTGTCTATAAATGTACCGCATGTGGTTGTGTAAAAAGTTGTGTAATAGGAAAAGTTGTACCAGCATCTTCAAATTATTGAGAAATTTCTCTTCAGTAAGGGCACTTACAAAGCACATATTAGATGGCTATTTGTTCTTCCCTTTTATGGTAGAATTGCTGTTCTACATCACTTTTTAAATATTCTGACGTATTACGACCATTTTGTGTTCTGTTCTGCTGGTACCACAGTCAGATAATAGGAGGATTTTTATTCACACAAATTACCCACAGCAAAACAGAAAGAAGTTTATTGGATTATTATTATTTTTTTAAGTTCCCGCTGTGCCCAGTGTAACAAACATACAATCTTAAGGAACACACTGTGGAAGAAAAGCCAGATTTCTCATGGACTGAACTTTATAGAATGTTCTTCCCTGATTTTGAAGTCTCCAGCTTTCCATTAATTCGTTGTTTTTCATTTTTCTGAAGGATATTTTTTTCTGTCTGTAGTACTTATTTATTTGTTTGGAATAGTGACCTAAAATGAGGGTTCTTATTCCAGATATTTGGCCAAGCGCAGTCATTGAGTTGGCTTATCCCTGGACACTAGGCAGGCACTTGGGAAGTAGCCAGTCCAGTGATGGCCTGTGGTTCATCGTGTACCCAATGAATTGTGTTAAGTTTGCTGACTCAGACTTGATTGAGAATTTCATGCCTCTCAGACTGTCACTGTAAATGCACAGCAGAGCATTTTTTTAAGCTGGCGTGATTCTTACTGTCTTACCCATTGGGGCTCTAAGGTAAATCCTGTTGGAAATGGGGCATGCCTTCGTCTAGGCAGGTGGGGACACTGTTGGCAGTTCAGAATAAAGATTTTACAAAGAGTCAGATGGCTGAAATGCACTGTATGATGAATTTCTCAGTAGAGACCTCTGGAATGTTCTTGCATGTTGAGTGATGTGCCATCCCTTTTAAGTTTTCTTTTAAGTATAAGTTCAAAGTTTATTCTTTAGTAGAAAACCCTTGTAAATGGCTGACACTTTTAGCTGTACAATCGGTAATGGATCAGGTTTTATTCCCAAATAAGCTGAAAAGGAGCTGTTATGAGCACGTTGAAAATTGGGTGGTAATGTGGGTGACTATAGACCTTTGAAATTAGAATTGGGAAAGAAGTCTCCTAGTAAAATCCTCCTCCTTCCCCGACCTCTGTAGCTGAAGGCTGGGAACACCCTCAAGAATTTGCTGCTTAGGTGTTGTTGAAATGTGCACAACTTCTAGGTCCTGTCAACAAGACACCCAAATCAGAAACACACTCATGTTGTACTGGTTCATGTCTGCAGCCCCCCACCCATCCATTGCACAAGTCACTGTTTTTTCCCAATGAAACATCGTGTTTGGTCACATGTCTACTAAGTCTCTTTTGGTGCCTGCCAAAACCACAGGCAGAAGGCTCCTTTGCAGGACTCGTGTGGCTAACCCAAATGAAAAAGACATGGACATGGGACAGAATGTCCAGTCTTCCCTTTTTTTTACCCTGAAATGGAAAGGATCAGTTTTCTTACAAAGCAGTCGTAATACTGTAACACGGACCAGTGAATAGATTTAAGAACAAACGCTTTCTCTTCTACAATAAGCTATGAGAATCAGTAATCAAAGAAAGCATTTTCTTTTTTTCAAGGACTTCGGTAGACATTTTTTTCCCTTGGTAGGATCAGTGTTCCTCATCTAAGAAATAGCTGATGTGACACTTACTGGTGTCATCCCTCTGGAGGCAGACTTACATCCCGGTGCTCTCTTTGCTGGAAGCAGAGACAACCTTCCAAATTGGAGATGCCAGAAATAAAAAGTTTTGAGGAAAAAACTGTGTTATCAATGTAGTTATGCACTCAAACCTACCAAGGAGAACTCGGTAAAGCTTGGCAGACTTTTCTGCTCGAGTCTGGTTGTCTGATATTTTATTACAGATTAATGACCCTAAAAATATAGCCAGTGTTGTTAGTATGACGTGTTGAGACATTTCCCTATGGGAATAATTGCTGGCTCTACTGTTCCATGCTTGGCGCTTCTTATGGGGCTTTTAGATGGTTCCACAGTAGGCTGGTTTATTTTGAAACAGATCTTCAGTAAATGAAAATGAACCTTGTGGGCAAATGAGATTTAGGCTAACTAACTTATTTCTGATAACCACAATTTCCAGGATGAGCTTTTTAACTTTGTAAGATGTGAGCGTCCTAAAGGGCCACTTTACAGAACCACCCATGATCGGCTTGTCTCCCCTTCAGAACCTTCCCCCCCCCCCCCCCCCCCCAAGCTTCTTTAAGACTATGTGGGTCTTTGGCCACCAAACTTGGGCCTGTCCTTGCAGAGAGGATTGGCCAGCTGTTCCCGGCTGCTTGGTAGCTGCAGTCAGTTGGGACTGCCAGGGAACAGTGAATGAATTTAAGGTGAGGGGCACCATGCTGCTTACGGGATTTAGCAGAGAGGAGACTGTTCTTGACGGCCCAATTAGTCATCACCCTGTGCCACTAAGCAGGAAGGGCTTCGTTCAGTGCGACTCTTCAGGCAGTTATCTGTGCTTGATAATCCCAGTGTTACAGATTTCCTTTTGAAATAACCACCACAGTGGTATATGTTGTCAAAGACTTTGAAGTTGTGTCTCTGTATTTGTATTAGGGACGTTACATTACAACCCCAGCTTTAGAGTGAGATTAGACCACGAGGGTGACTTTACGTCGATTTTGAGCTTTACACGTTGGCAAAATGTTTTGGGGAGAAGCATGTTTTCCAAACAAGTGTATGTACTGAAGAAGGAAGCTACCAAGATACTGAAGCCCCTGGCTAGGGAGCTGCTCCACAAACCATTCAATCAATGCCATGTTGCTTCCCTAAGATATTTAGAAATCAGTTTTCCCGGAAGAAAAAAAGGCCACAAAGAGATCTTAAAACATTTTGATAATAAATGGTGGATGATAAAGTACTTTCTTCATGTCTCTGAATTCTAATCTGTAAACTTAAGTGACAAAAAAAAAAAAAAAAAAAGACAAAAGACTTGTCCTTTTGTATTAATGGTTTACAAAACAGGTAATTTTGGGCAAATTTTAAAAACAAAAGTAGAAATTTGTGACTATTTAATGCTAAAATACCTTGAAGATAATCATTTCATCTAAGAACGGCATAGAACTGAAAGGTAATTTCAGTGATGATACTACTTGAGAGCATTTCAGTATCTAAGTTCTATAGCAAACCGGGGAATTCTGTTTGTAGTTGTCTGTATCTGTGTCTCCGTGAAGTCTTTTAGGATGGACCGAAAGGTCACCGAGCCTCGTCTGGGCCGTCTGTCCCCCATCCTTAGGACAGCCAATCCCAACAGTGCTTGTTGTAACGTTGCAGCCTCACTGGGACGCTCCATGATCTACGCTAAGGCCTTTTGTTAAGGGAAAGTAAGAAGTTGCAACAGCAGCATTTCCCCTTAAAGTTAAAGTGGCCCAAAGGGGCTGGAATTTCAGAACTTACAGGAATTTTGATCACTTTTTATTGAAAACTGCACTGACCGCTAAATGTCCACCTTTACAATAAACAAACACAAGAACGTGTAACACACTAAAACAAAACATCCTGCTTGCTGATAGCCATTCTTGGTTTTCTGTTTGGGACAGTTTTCAAGATATCTTTTTGTCACAGAAACAGGAATGTACCTATACAAAGGCTCAAAACAGGCCATCTTTTTAAAAGAAAAGACTATGAATATAACATGAAACTAGTTGATACAAATCTAATAGGATTTGTTAAAATCAGTCACGCCTAATAACACATTTGAAGTGTTCTTGTATAAAATATCACATGAAGAAAAGAAGACTTTTATCAATGTCTAAAAAAGTGGGTTTTGTTCATAGACAATCTGACAAATTACCATAAAAAGTGTTTCCTGAGACATAAGGAAATGCAACATTATTCTTCTTGAGCTTTCAGCTCAAGACTTTCCACTCAATAAAATAGCTGAGGATCTGAAACTGAGAAAATATATTTGAGTACAAACAGCTTGTGAAATTTAATACTTTTTTCTTTCTTTTTTTTCTTTTTTTTTTTTGCATCATTAAGAGGGTTTTACTGAGCTTACAGCCAACCGCTCAGGGTGTGTGTGTGTGTGTGTGTGTGTGTGTGTGTGTGTGTGTGTGTATATAGTTCAGATGAGGGAGAAATAGGTTTCACTGTACACAGGAAACTTGATTATGTTCAGTATCTTATGCTTTGTAGTGTCTACCACAGGAAAACCATTTTCTCCTCATCTTTGTGATAGTTTGTCCTCCTAGCCAAAGAGGTAACCAGCCACACGTGGACAGAAGAGGCTGTAGTCCCATGATTAGGTTTTCTCTCTGCAATTTCCTAGTTGGATGGTTGGATCTCTTGATGCAACATTCTAAAGCAGAAGTCCAAGACCTGCTATTCCCAAGGGATTGAGAAAGGAAAAAGATCTATTTATTCTTGTGATTGGTGCACAGATGAAAAAACTTAACACACAGTAACAGAAGTTGGTTGTTCATGTTACACGTCCTCGCTTTCCAGCACTTGTGAGCAGAGGTGCTGACTTCTGGGTGGTTCTCCCCATCTCGCCTTCGGATCTCCTCTTTCACACTGCCACGTCAGTGATGCATCGGTCCAGAATCCACGTTGTGAATTCTACGGCGGATTCCTTTTCTTGTAGTTCCTGTTCACTGTTCACTGTTTCTTGGTCCCAAGTTTATGTAAATGATTATTTTCGTTAAATTATCTGCTATTGCTCATTGGGGTGCTCTCTGTTGTCTCCATGTTTTGTGGGCTGGTTAGGAGAGGGAGCTTGGGAAGGATGTGCCACGGTTGGAAGATTATGAGTAACGGGAATCCCTCCTGGGATAATGCCTTCCATGGCTGCAGGAATTCCTCCAGGCGTTACACTGACTATGCCAGGTGGGTATCTAAGGAAGAAATGAAAAGACGGATGGTTTCAGGCAAGTTACAAAGAGATAATTCAATAGAGGTACAAGAATATTCATCTTTTCAGAGTCAATTACCAACATTTCTGACTGAATTCTAGAGAGTCTAGAAAAATAGGCTAGCCAATGTGTACTTGAAGGCTGTGACCTGGAAATTGGAACACTTACACAGAGCAACTATTGTTTAAACTTACAATTTCATTATAATTTGGTTGTTTCTAAGGGTTTGCCTTAAAATTCAAGGCCCAAACCAAATATGCATGCACAAGTCACTTTACATCTGTGCTCCAAGCAACTCCCTAAGACAGGCAGTTTTGGTCACGCTCAGTGCAGAGTTTCCACGTTTGGAGGATACCTTTATGAAATCATAGTTTTGTTCAGATGTGAGGTGGTGACATCTTCAGTTTAAAATGGATGAATTTGATATTAACACATTGCGAGGATATAACTCTTGTTTTGATGCAGTGTTACCCAGTTTAAAGTTGAAATTCAGAGGATAAAATATTTGGACACATTACCATTTAATAAACTGTGTGACCCTGGGCAAGTCACTTAACCCTAATTGCCTCATAACAACAAGAAAAGAATATATACAGCTTAGACCCTGGATGTACTGGGAAGTATGTACTACAAGAATTCTTAACTCCCATGTATATTATGTATAGGGGAAAGAGCCTAGATCTGAGAAAACTGGGTAAACAAAAAGTGCTTTGGCCTCATCCCGACACATTGTGTTCATGAATAAATAGGCCCTACCCAGGGAAATGCCCCAACTGGGCAGTGTGTCCCTCACTGCCAAATGCAAAGCATGTTGTCTTGGCTGCCTACAGACCCAGCACAAATCTAAGAAGGTGGGCATCTAGCACCGCCCCTTTCCACATTTTTAATATTCTGAATACGGGAACTCAGGTTTGACCTCATTGCTCTCTCTCTGATAAGTGGTCAGAATTTAAAAGGTCAAGGGATAGGCTGGTATTTTAAAATGCTTTAATAAATTATGCCAGATTGCAGTGTGGGAATCTGGAGGCAGCGGCCACTTTTCTTTATAATCACAAAGTAATAGTTTTCACCCCAGAACACCAAGTTCTAGGCAAGTGAGGCAGAGAACTTTTTTAAAAATCCTGCAATGGAAACGTCAACTTTGAAGAGTATGTGTGTGGAGTGATGTATCTTACAAGGGAAGAAGTCTGTCCTTTTATTGTTAACATAAATCAGAGATGATCACATGACACAGAAAGTCCATTGAACTGGAACAGAACTGAAGAAAGGGGGACCTGAGAGGGGCCATCGGCCCAACCCACTCAAAAATCCCCTACATTCTGCCTTTTGTTCAGCTTGAACAAAAGATTCATTTCCCTCTCTTAGACTTTACTTATAAAAATTTTTTACAAGTTTACTTGTAAAATGCAGAGGTTATCTCAAAGTTTCCTGTTAACTCTCCATCTATGGTCAAATGATTGTGTTTGGCCCCAGAAGGCAGCACAGTTAAGAGGAATGGGGAGTTTTCAGATCAGAGCTGCTTCGGGGGTAGTGGCGCCCTCATCTGGGCATGGCAGGTTGACCAGCTGCCCTGTGGGCTGAGCATTTGTAATTCTGGGGAAGATAAGACCTTGTTGTTTCTTTCCTGGGTTCAGTGTCAGTGAGGTAGAAATGTGCTCCCACAAGGTGAGTGACAGGATGGAGCAGGGACGCATGACTGGCTCTTTGCAGATCCACATGTGGTATACAAGGAAACGTGGCAACAGCTCCAAGTTCCATGGAAGGAAGGTCTTGCCCATTTGGATGGCTGCTGAACTGTGCGTGGGCTGGCTGAAGTCAGCACCTAGATGTCTTTCTTAGTGTCTCATGAGCCATTTCATCCAGGTAGGAGCCTCCAATGTAATGGTGTGAACTCTGGCCCGGAACTTAAAATACTCATGAAAAATGTCCACACCCTGGACTCCTTGGGTCCTAACTGCAGGCTGTGCAGCATACGTGTTTAAAAACAGTGCCTCTCATCTTCTCTCCCTCCTCTTTGAGCAATCAGGGGTTACAATTCATTTCCACCTGAAATGTCTGGGATGGGGAGTGAGGTCTAGACCTGTGACTTCATTAATGTAGGAAACTCCCAGGGTTTTCACACTGCGACTGCAGCCCACGCTCTCACAGCTACTATGATACTGCTTCTGTGTCAACGTGTGACAGACAGTCCACCATCAGCTGGGCTCCGTGTCCAAAAATGAAAGGGAAAGAGTGAACACAAGTGAAGAGAAAGCTCTTTCCCTGTGAAAGTCACTGGCACAAGGCGTTGATTCGTATGACTTTTTTTTTATTACATTTCTCCACCCCGATTCAGGAGGCCCCCGGAGGATGGATTTTTTAAAAATTGTCTCACTTTTGGGAAGGAGGAGGCAGGGAAGCCAACCAAAAGCAGTCCTTTAGCAGCATCCCCCAAACCTTGTTCTCAACTCAATAACTCAAGTAGTTTTTCTATCAAGGACTAAAGAAAATGCCATTTGGTTCAAGGGCTTGGCCTGCACGTTCAGCCAGAATCGGGCTGGTGAGAGTGACCTTCCGGTACGTATCTGAAGGGGGCCGATCCGATGAGGCTACTGTGTGCACCAGAGAAGAGCCAGGAGCATGGCAGGGTGTCTTCACCAGGCCTCCGTCCCTCCCCAGCGCAGACAGGGCACCTGCAGGGCCCCGGAGGGTGGGTGCCACGCGGAATTCCCCCCTCTCACCTGTAGGTGGCACCATTGAGCTCTGGATGGATTGCCTGCTGATCTATGACGGACCACGGAGCAGAGGTGACAAAGAAGTCCTTATTTACGCAGTTTCTTAAGCTGTCTGGGATGCGACCTGGAAGCCAAGGGATGGAGCGTCATGGCATGCTCAGACTGGAAGGGGTGACGGGGGAGCACGCGGCCACACCTCCCCAGCCGAGGGGGCCGCCGGTCACGCGGTGATGGGGGGCCCCCCCTGGCCCTTGGATCCCAGCTGAGGACAAATCCTCTGCTCGAAGCTCTACTTGTTATGAATTTAGTTATGCGCTCACAAAGGGAACGAACAGACAATCCAGATTGACGCGGGGCCCTTCTGTAGGGTGTGCCCCCTCTCTCCGGTTATTTATTTGGGGGGGTCTGGAGCTTCCAACTTACCCAGTCTCACTCCACCCAGGCCTTGGTCACTAATGGTAACTCAACGTAAACCAAGCCTCAAAAAAGGAGGGGGGGGGGCGGAACTCCAGCCTAATGGTTGTAGGGACCTGTACCGCGTGCCCCTGGGCACCCGCCAGACTCCTCAGCGCAGTCGTACCTGTGATCGCTCGGCGAATTTCGGTCGCGGCTGCCTCCCTCATCTCCAGGGATGCCTGCTCACTATACCAAGCCGTGTGGGGCGTGCAGATTAAATTTGGTGCGTCTTTCAGTGGGCCCTGAGCAAAACTATGGAAATGAGGGAAGAAGGCAGAATGTGTTAACAGCTCATGTCCCCTGTGGTCGACCCCCCAGGGCCGTGGGGCAGGTGGCCCCCTACCATTTCTCTCCCAATAGGCTGCAAGGTTCACCAACAGCCGCCATTTTCACTGCATATTCTCCACAACCACTCTGTGGGGTAGGGAATCCTGTCAATCAGGACAGCTGCCATGTTACATATGCAGAGGCAGTATGACTCCAGACAGGGCTGGCCTTGGGGTCAGAATCACCCGGGCTGGACATTTTCCTCTGACCCACACCGCTTGGCTGTAAGACTGGGCCCCAGCACCCCTGAAGGCCAAGTGCCAGAGTCCGGCCCACAAGACAAATCCTCATCCTGACAATGGGAGAATTGAACCTTTGGCCGTAATTAGAAGCTTCAAAGAGGCCCGGTGAGACCAGTGAGAAACCTTCCCTGGCCCCCCCAGCCACTAGTGCCCAGCTCCCGCCCCACGAGTGATTTTGTGCTCCCCTATATGCAAACGTGGTTTCCCCAGTTGTTGGAGCAGTTGGCAAGGATGTGTAAAAAATAATAACAGTAAGTCTAAGACAGTTGGGCGGGGGCTCCTGTACAAGGTGGTGTTCTAGATCGAAGGGAGTGAGTCAGAAGTCAGGAGGGGCGCTGGGGCATGGCGGTCCCGGAGGCTGACAATGTGGTGGAGATCATTATGGGAAGGAAGAATTTAGAGAGGAGAGGGCACTGCGGGAGCTAAGTAGGGAGGGGCCTGGTCACAGCCACCCTTCATCCCTTAGGCACCAATGTGAAGGATGCACCTCTGGGGGGATGGCACAGCTGAGGGAAAGGCCATGCAGGTGTGCATTAAGGGGAACGCTGGATCAGTAGTGAGTGAGGGCAAAGATGGGGAGATGCGTCAGCACACCGGACAGCAGAGGCGAGAGGCCCGGCACGCTGCCAACCCTGCGAGCCGAGGGGCCCTCTGCCCCGGACAGAAAAGAAGCCTTTCTGGAGACACGGTGCTTTGAGGGTGTCTCTGGGACACCGCTCTGCACTGTCCAGCAGGCAGCCCGAGGGAGCGGCTGCAGCTGGACATTAAATCCCGGGGGATCCTGAGGAGATGCCCAGGACGGGACCTTGGTGAGCGCCCTCTTTGGGAGGACGGAGGAGCCAACAGACAGGCGTCAAGCACATGTGTCGGACGCGGGTCAGCCCCGCGGGGGCGCTCCCCCCCCCCCAGGAGGCTGCCTGAGGCCTCACTGCTTACCCCTCCCTGCTTAGCAGGACTCACCTAAAAGGTTCCGATTCGTGCACGTCCAGCGCCGCCCCTCGTATCCGGCCCTCCTTGAGGGCCTGGGCCAGCGCCTTCTCATCTACCAGCCCCCCGCGGGCCGCGTTCACCAGGAATGCGCCTTGCCTCATCTGCAGGGGAGGAAGAGGAAGAGCGTGAGCAGCTCGCGTGCGGGCCGGGCTCTGGGGCCGGGCCGGGGCCCCCTCCTCACCTGCTTGATGGTGAAGTCGTTGATCAGGTGGTGGTTGTGTTCGTTGAGGTTACAATGCAGGGACACGCAGTCGCTCTGGTAGAGCAGGTCCTGGAGGGTGTAGATCCGCTGGACGCCCAGGGAGCGCTCGATGCCGTCCTGCAAGTAGGGGTCGTAGAATATGACACTGAAGCCAAAGGCCTTGGCTCGGACGGCGACGGCCTGCCCGGTGCGACCTGTGGAGACACAAAGTGCGTGCAGGAGTCCCCTCCCCGAGGCCCGAGGCAAACCAAGCCATGCGCGGGTGACCGGGCATCCCGGGCGTGGGCTCCCTGCCCTTCCCCTCAGGCTGGGCCCCTGTGCCAGCTTCCGGGGGGTCCTCCTGCCCCCCACCCACGCCCTCTCCAAAGCATCTGCCATGTGCCGACTGCCAGGATGCCAAGGACCTGAATGGGCTCCTGCCCTGCCCCCCTCAAAAATAGGCACGCGCACACACACACATACACACACTGCCCCTCTGTCCCAATCTCCCTGGGTGTGCCTGTCAACTCCCCTGCAGCTGACTCTGGGCCAGCCCCTGCCCGCCCACTTGGCTAGAGGAGGGGCAATGGCTGGTTGGAAGGACTGCTCCCTGCCCGGGTCATCCCACCCTCCCTCCTGCACCTCCAGGAGGGGAAGGCTAGAGAGAAGCTTCGGGGCACCATCTTGCTCCCAGGCTGCCACGGAGGGTGAGGATGAACGACCCTGTGAAGATGAGCGCTGAGAGCCTGGAAACCCGCCAGCCCTGGCAGGGACCGAGGCTCTGCCTCCTCTCTCCTGAAGATGCTTCAGCACACAGCCAGAACCGTCCCGGGGAGCAGGCTGCCAAAGTACACCCAACACGGGCACTGAGCGGCCCTAAACGGAATGGGGACGTTCCATGCACCACAGGGGCTGGGCTAGATGACCGGCTCTACTTCTCTGACCTGGTTTGCTGCCCTGTGACCTTGGGCAAGTCCTTAGCCTGCCCGAGCCTCAGTTTCCCAGTCTGTAAGAGGAGGGTGGAAAACACGGACCCCAAGGTCCCTTCCAGCTCAGTACTAAACAACAGTTCTCGAAAACCAACATCCTTTATGCAGAGACACAAACTCTCCCAACAACCACAAGCACCAATAACCTCTGCTCTTTTCTTTCTTACACGTAGGGTACGTTTTTATTCCTTTTCAACACTTTATTCACAACTTTGACCTGTCGGCTTCTCAAAGTGCTGATCAACCGAACAGCAACTCACAGGATCACATATCGAGAGCTGGAAAGCCCAATGCTTTCATTTTACAGATGGAGAAACTGAGGCTTACAGGTACTAAGAGGCAGAGCTGGGATTTGAACCCAGGTCCTCCCACACGGAAGGGATCAGGGGGGCAGCTGTCCTGCCCCAACAGCAGCAGGTGGGAGGCAGGGAGATCCGAGTTCTAATCATTTAGACAGTTTGATTTAATCAGACATTTGCCAGCTGTGTGATCATGAGTAAGTTCCCATCTCCCTGGGCCTCAGTTTCCTCATTTGTAAAATGGGGGTGGTCTGGCGTGGATGACCCCTAAGATCCTTTGCAGCGCTAGGCCCGAGATCTTATGACCCGCTTTGTGTGTGTGATTCGGCTTTGTTTCTCAGGCCACCTTTATTGTTTCGAGGGTTGGCTCACTACTTTCTAACAGCCATTTCTTCATCCCCTCGCCCCCTCATCCCTTCCTTCCTTCGCGTCTCTCCCACGCAGGAGGACGACGGCTTGAGGGCAGGGTCCCTTCCGAGAGCAACAAGAACAGGGACCCACAGTCCGTACGTACCAAAGCCGATCAGGCCGAGCGTCTCCCCGCGGATGCGTGCTGCCCCCGAGGCCACTTCACGGATCTGCTCCACGCTCTGCACCCGCGTGCCCTCCCGCAGGGCCTGGTACAGCCAGGTGTTTCGCCGGTAGAGGTTGAGAACGTGACATATGGTAGAGTCGGCTGTCTCTTCCACGGCCGCTGAGGGGATGTTACACACGGCAATTCCTGGCAAGAGCGGAGATGACGAAGGTGAAGCTGGGACAGCTGGGGCCACCTGTGCTTGCCACACCTGGGAGGGTGTGGGAATGTGCTTTGTCTGAGTTCCTCATCTCCCACTTGCACGCCTTTGCACAGGCTGCCCCCATGCCCAGTGTTTGCTCTCCTCACCTCGGAGGGGGTCAGGATGCAAGCTGCAGGAGAGGCGGCTGTCCCAACACCCTCCCGCTGCCTCACTGTGCAGGGAAATGAGCCTGGGTTCTAGGAGGTGCTGTGAGCCCAGCTGAAATTCTGGGTGTGAGCGGGTGGGTTACTCAGCTTCAGCACCTACGTGGGCATCTTAGCAGGTCCCGGAGGGCTTGCATGTGTGTGGGCAGAGGGAGGCAAGACCCCTTCCCACCACGTCACAGATCCTTGCTCTAGAGAGACGACTCTGATCCCTCTGTGGCCTCAGTTTCCTCTCTGCTTGGATCAGGCGGCCTCGAAGGTCCTGCCGAGCTCCGAGTCTACGACTGAGCCACCACAGGAGGCAGCTGCCTCTGAAGTGGGGGAAGGGAGGGGAAGGTCTGCTCTGGAAGCCTCTCGAGTCTGAAGCTGGGCTTGAACTCAGGTCTTCCTGACTCTGGGTGAAGCGCTCTCTCCACTGCGCCAGCGGCTGCCCATTCATTCTGTCTGACGTTGACCAGGCCCATGAAGGTTTGCTCAGCCCTCTCTTTGCCCGCCTCGCCTCCCTCCACGAGAGAGGTGCCGGTATTTCCCCCCTATTACGGATGAGGAAACTTAAGCCTCTCGTGGGAGTCCTGAGCTCAACAGGACCTGCCCCCAAAGGTGCTCAGACACTGTAACAAACATGCTGACACTGGAGAACAGAAAAGGAAACTGAGGCCGGGGGAGCTGGGAGGGACGTCATTTCCTATATTGCTGGGAGGAGTCTGGGGTCCCCACAGCACCCGGGGCTCCCGGCCTCAGTTTCCCCCTCGGCACCAGCCGTCCCACGGAGTCCGTGCCCCGCCCGCCGGCACCTACCCAGCTCTCCGGCCGCCTTGATGTCGACGTTGTCGTAGCCGCTTCCGATGCGCACGATGACCCGCAGCGCCTTGAACTTCTCCAGGTCCTCGCGGGTGAGGGTGATCGTGTGGTACATCATGGCTCCCACGGCTTCGTTCAACACCTGGCCAAGAAGAGCCGAGAGCCGTGAGAGCGGCGGGATCCTGGGGAGAAACTGCCCCCCACCCGCACGCGGACGGTCTTTCAGGTGAGGAAGGTCACACGGGCTGTGCTGCCCCAGCAGGAGAGGCAGGGCTCTGGGTTCAAATCCTGGTGCTGCTGTGTGAGGTACCTGGGACAGTGAGTAGAGGAGGAGCCTCTGGGAAGCCGTGGGCAGGTGACCAACGCTTAGCAGTTTAGACACAGAGGCCTGGAGCTGGAATCATGAAGGGCTGGGCTCAAATTCTGACTCAGTCACTTATGGGCTAGGAGACCCTGGGCACGCTTAACCTCTCTGGGCCTCAGTTTCCTTATCTGTCAAAGGTGCTGGTGTGGGACGTCTGGAGGGTCAGAGGTGTCTGGCCATTCTGAAGGCACCAGTGAGAATTCAAAAGGAAACCCTTCATTCATAGCAAACCTGCCACAAAGTCCTTCCTGGTGCCTCGGGCCATGCCATGAGGCGCCGGCCAGCTCAGGCCATCAACAAACACTTATGGAACGCCTACTGTGTGCCAGGGATACAGGATCTGGTCACTGAGCATGATGGAGCAGCTCTGACTGGAGGATGACCTCCTCTGACCTCAGCCCAGAAGGGACTGACCAATGGAAATGCCGCCTGGGGGACTCCTCTCTCGGGCAAGTCAGTCCAAAGTCTGACCTCTGACCCGCCCCAATCCACCCCCACCAAATGCCCCCCTTGGAGATTCATGGTCAGGTCCCAAGGACCAAAGGGGCCCACTTCACATCTACTGGTGACCAGGCAGTCAGTCTCAATGGTGGCACGTTGTAGAGGGCCCTGGACGTTGACCTGAGTTCAAATCTAGCCTCAGACATTTACCAGCCAGTCACTTAACCCGTTTGCCTCAGTTTCCTCATCTGTAAAATGGGCATCATGATCGCGATAGCACCAACCTCCCAGGATGTAGCAAGAATGAAATGAGATATCGTTAAGCGCTTTGCAAACCTTGGATGTGCGTATGAACACTAACTCTTCTCATGGTTATTCATGGGGGGAGCTCCTCAGAATTGCCCCATCACTCCCCATCTCAGAAGGGCGCTTATCAGGATACACGGGGCCACGACTAGAATGGAAGTGCCTCCAGGGCAGGCCTGCTGTTTGCGTATGGAGTCTAGCACACCACGGGTGACTGCCAAATGGGGAAGGCCCCTCCTGCTTGCCTAGTTCCCTACGTAGGCAGGGTGGGCCTCAGGCTGAGAGTGTGGAAGACAGCATTTATTGTATGCCCACTGTATGCAAGGCACTGGGCTGAGCTGTGGGGACACCTAGACCAAGTCAGACACTTCCTAGCTGTGGGACCTGTCTGCCTCAGTTTCCTCATCTGTAAAATCAGCTGGAGAAGGCAATGATGACCACTCCAGCGTCTCTGCTGAGAAGAGTTGGACGTGACTGAAAAATGACTGAACAATAGTAACTGTGGCTCTAAATGCCCGCCGTGGGATCTCTGTGTTTGAACCTCGAGGAGCTTCGTGGGCAGGGCAGGGGTCAGACCCGCCGATCCCTGGTCTCTGCCTTCTGTCCCCTGAATGTCCCAGGGGATGCCCGAGGGCAGAGGGCCAGGCGCCAGGCTCGGTTCAGGGGACGCCTGTGCTTGCATCCCTCGTCCGGGCCCCGGGTGAGCTCACAGCTCGATCGGCGGCAGGACTGAGCAGGCTGCACTGGCCATGCCAAGGGGCACCACGTGGGCAGACATTTTGGGATGACAGCTGGTGGGCTGGGTCGGGAGCACCCCACGAGGGGCTCTTCCATCCCGCTTCTGGGGTCTCACTGCACTTCTCAATCAAAGCTGTTCCTGTCCAAACGCTGCGTAGGACCCCAGAGCTAATCCACTCAGGCCAAAGCTTGTCACGGGGCCCTCGTTCCCCAGGACTTTCCCAGACCCTGCCCCCTGAATAAGCACCCGATGCCAGGAGAGGCAGGGGACCCGGCCTGGAGCCCCACTCTGACCCTGACCTTAACTAAGCCTGGGGGAGGGGGAGAGCCGCTCTCCATGGCGACCATCCTTCCAGAGAAACACACCCACAGGACGCTGAGAGCCAGCCAGAGTCCACAGAGGTCGCTGGGAGTGAGAAGCCGACCCACTGACCTACCATGTGTCCGGGATGGCCTCTGACACCTCCCCCGTCCCCAGCTTAGTCTCTGTGGTCAAGTCAAGGGGGCGCCCTTATGGGTCACTACGAACCCCCCTGGGGCTCAGCGGTCTCGTCTGTAAAAGGCAGGGGTGGCTCTGACAGCCCCTTCTGGCTCTTAGCACACATTCCTAAATCCTACAAGCCTGGGACCCAGGATCCCCTCGTCCCTCCAATCTGGCCAAGATCACAGGAACAGAACAGACCTGGGGTTGGAAGCCGCCTCGGAGTTCATCCAGATCAGCCCCCATTTTACAGATAAGTAAACTGAGGCCCAGAGAGGCACAGTAACTTTGCCGAGGTTAATACTGGTAGCGATCCCAAATCCAGCTGTGCCATACCCTCAGATTCTTAGCACCAGAGGTCCAGGGCTGGAGGGCGGCCGGGGACCTGAACGGCCAAGCCCAGGGAGGGCTTCCTGACAGTGACACGGGTTTCGGCCTGGATCCTCCGCCTCCAGGCACTGCTCTTTCCACTGGACCATCCTACTCCATCAGGGTAGAAATGGGGACCGCACACACGCCCCCTCTGTCTGCAGCCGGAGGACCCGGGGCAGGGCAGCCCTGGGGTGGCCAGGACACTGCTCTGTGCTGGGTTTGCTTGCTTTGTTAGTGAGAGAAAAGACACAGAGCGAGAGGAGGAGGGCAGGAGGTCGGGGAGAGGCAGACAGACGGACGGACAGACGGACGGACGGACAGTGGTGGGGCGTGTGCGGACTTGGGGCCACTCACCTTCTCATGGATCTCCTGAGTTGATTGTGCGTCACAAAAAGCCACTGTGGCCAAGTCTTTCAAAATGGGCATCTCCACGGTGCAGTCCCGCCCATCAAGCAGGGCCACCAGGGGTCGGGGGTGCAGGGGACCATTCATGATTTGGGGCCGGATACCTGCAGGGAGCACAAGAGGGAGGGACTGTGACAGAGCTGAGGGCGCCTGGGGGTGGGGCCCAGCACAGGAAGACATGGGTACCGCCGTGAGGTGCAGCAGGGACAGGCTGGCTTGGGTGCGGGGGGCTCTCTGTGCATCAGTTTCCTCATCTGCAAAAAGGGGTCAGTCTCAGTAAGCCCGCACCCTGCCTTCCACCTCTGTGATGCATGTCACCATCACGCAGATATCACTGTCGCCACTGAGCAGACGAGGCTCACTCACAGTCACCCCCCTAAACGACAGTCACAGGCAGCGCTAGAACCCAGGACCGCTACTCCACGCTGCTTCTCTGAGATGCTGTTTCCGGCACACACACGTGGCTGAGGTCTCGGGGGACCTTCCCAGCCCAGTCAGAGAACGTAACACCTCGAGAAGAGCGGAGATTGATGAAGGCAACGGAGAAATTCCAGCTCTACCCAGTTAAACCCCTTTACCAATAAGGAAACTAAGGGGACGGGGGTTGTCAACAACCAGGTACACTGCTAACAATTCCTGGGAGTGGGGGACCGCAGCAGGAATGAGGCCCCACCCCGAGGGAAAGAGGAACCCTGCTCAGATGGACCGCCAACTTGGGGAGCAGCCCGCCTCTGCCGCCCCAGGCGGATCTGGTCCTTTCCACCTCTGTTTCCTGTGCAAATGGAGCTGAGTTGTGTCAGTGTTTTGGAGCTCGGGGGAATTGGCTGGGCAGGGGCAGCTAGGTGGTGCAGTGGATAGAGCACCAGCCCTGAAGTCAGGAGGACCTGAGTTCAAATCCGGCCTCAGACCAAACACTTGACACTTACTAGCTGTGTGACCTTGGACAAGTCACTTAACACCGATTGCCTCACTAAAAAAAAAAAAAAATTGGCTGGGCAGTCTGCTGCTGGTGCAGGGTTTGGGGGTGGCACGTGGGCTCTTGGGGTCCTGGTGCGGCCAGGCCGTCCACGCCCTCCCTGTGCCAGGAACACCCCCCACCCCCGCATGCCTCTGCCATGACCAGCCGGGCCTCAAGGAGAGAGGCGCCCTGGATGGAACCCACCTGGATGGGCTATCGGGAGCCCCTTATTAACGAGTCCCAGATCCCCACTTTGCTAATAAGAAACCCAGCTGAACAAAATGCCAGCAGCCCATAACTGGTGCTACAGGGGTTTCGGCTTTTAAGCAGAAGAATCCCATTTGCTGAAGCCACGGGCCCTCTCCCGCAGGCAGGGCCATGGCGGCATTTCTGCCTTCCCCGGTATTGGCCGACACGACAAGATTTCCCGGCTAGGGAGGCCACCCGTGTAGAGAATGTCCTCGGTGCCTGCGCTGGGGAGGACATGGGGAGCCTCCATCTGGCGGGACAGCCTGGCACCCCGAGGCCGGGCCAGAGGTCCCTCCTCCGACTGAAACGCGCCTAACTGCTGGAAACGACCTCCTCCCCCCAAAACCACTTCTCTCTGGACTAGCTGGTGGTTAAACACTACATGCAAGACTGCTCTGAGCTAGACTCAGCGAACAGAAATCACGGCAAAGCTTCAGGAGATGGCAAACGGAGGCTCAGGGTGTCGCAGGGCTTCTGCCGGCGTTTCTGGGGGGGGGGACGGTCTGGCTAAGCGGGGTCACTAAGCAAGTCCCTGCCCTTCCTGGGAGTCAGATCTACGAGGAGGGGGCAGCGAGGGCCTCGAACGCTCCGTCCAGCTCGGCCCCCGGGGATCACTGAAGGAGGCCACGTCTGGTGAGACCCCCGGCTGCAGCCAACGCCAAGCCCGCGCGTCCCCAGAGAGGTCCCCCGAGACGCCGGCCCCCATCGGACAGCCGAGAACGAAGGGGTCGGAGCAGAGCTGCCCGGACGGGGAGCAAAGGGGAGGCCGAGCTGCTGGAGGACGCAGAGCCGGGGCTGGCTGTCACCTGGTGGAGGGTCCTTAGAACGTGACATTTTGGAGTCAGAAGGAACCTGGAACCCAGAAGGGACCTCGGACCACAGAACCGAAAGCACCCACAGACCATCCCCCGAGTTTATCAATGGGAAAACTGAGGACAAGAACAGAAACGACTCATCCAAGCTTTACGGGTGCGGCTTTTCTCGATCAACATAGACGGTGCCACTGTTCAAGTCCCTACGACCTCCACCGAGACATGCTGGGAACTCCCCACCACCACCACAAACCGGGCAACGTGACCCGCCTGCGTGCAGGAAGGGGCCGTAGGCGGCTAAAAGCCAGCCCACACTCGAGATGAAGGCGATCCCGATGGCATGAGGGGCCCCTGGGAGCTCTTCCCTGGATGGTGCCCGCTGTACCCTTCCTCCACTCCAGACCAGATGGCAGAAAACAAACCAATCATGGTGCCACGGGACGGGGGAGGGCTCCACCTTGGGTTCTAGAACTTCAGAACGGCCGCCGCCTGCACCAATATTGCCAAAGTAGTCTAAAATGAAGACGCGGGGCTTGCTGGGAAGGGCTCCTGGCAACTTTAATTAACCTGGCTCTGCCCTGCCTGCCTAGATACCTCCCAGCGTCCTGGGCACGAGGAGACATTGGTCGGTGTCCTGGGCTGAGCCCGTTGGTGCCGGGCAGCCGGGTCCACCAGACGGACAGCCTGCTTGTTCCTGCCTCGTCCACACACGAAGCCCTCTTACCCTCCTCCCTGGGCTCCTCCCCTCTGCCCCCTCTGCCCAGAGAGCTCGGGAAGCTTCCCAGGCGGCCTGGTGGGCTTTGTGCGGCTGCCGGCCGGCCGGGGCGAGCTCCCTGGGAACAGAAGGCGGGGATGCCGCTTGGCCACCCATCCGTCATCTCGGCTGCCTCCAGCATACCTCTGCCGGCCAGCCCGACACAATCCCTGGTGGGGCGGCATGGGGCATCCTCCAAGGACAGTCCGAGGCCAGCCATCGGTCAGACTGCACCCTTGCCCGAGCAGTGCCAATGTTACAAGAAACTGGACACTTTATGAGACGCTCCCTGCCTGGGAAACGCTGCCTCCACACTTCTCGTTTCAAATGGCACACGGGAGCAGAGGGAGAGAGCGGGGGGAAGCAAGGACCGGGGAAGATACTACCACTTTCCCATGGGTGGGTGTTGCTGCTGCTGCTGCCGCCGCCAGGAGCATCAGGCACAAAGTCCTGCGGTGGCGGACCCCAGCTGCAACATCTCCGGGCAAACGTCTCTTTGAATGCGCAGGCAAAGAAAACGTTTTTGTCCAGAGCCCCAGAAGAATGGGCAGGCGAGGAGCTCCGGCTGCTGCTGCCTTCTGGAGCTCCCAGACTTCACCGATGCTGGCTAACTAATCGTGGACCCCAGCAAGCCTGGCTGATCTCCATCCCCTTGAGCGGAGAAGGCTCTGTCTCCCCTCTGCCTGCATCTGGGCCCGTCCACGGTTTCTTGTTGCCTAGAAGTCCCAGTGGCTCCTGGCCTCTCCTGGCTTGCAGGAGGCCCCCCAGTTCGGGCTCTCGGGGAGGAAAGAGGAGGCCAACATGTCTGGCTGCTTTCAGCGTCTCTGCTTATCTACACCCCGGGCGGGCCAGTGAGAGGCCACGGAGGAAGCATGCTGACCTTGCCTTGACCAGTGCCTTGCCTCAGGAAGGAGCAGGAAGTGCGGGGGGGGAGGGGAGGACGGAAGAGGGAGCAGCCAGCCGTGTTCAAACAGACAAAAAAAGCCCTGGCGGAGTGCTCTGGGAGGGCAAACTGGCTCGTGCCTCAGCGGAGGGAGCCGGTCAATCCCAGCCCCCAAAGGGGCCAGGCATTCCTAGTGCCCCCCGCTGGCAGTCTCCGGGTCTCCGTTAAGGTGAACACACCAGCCCTTCTGTTTCAACAGGACCCTTGAGTTTGCAAAGCCCCTTCCTTACAAAGACTGGGGGTGAGGGTGAGGGGCATGATGGGAAGAAACTGAGGCTCGGGGCTGGGGTGTGGCTTCCTTACGGTTCCACACTGGGGTCCGAGCGCTGAGTCTCGGCTGAGTGACCCTGGGCCAGTCACCTGAACTCCAGCCCCCGCTTCCGCATCTGCTGAAGGACAACACTTCAGATGGACTGCCCCTTTCCACTCCAGGTCCTAGAAGAGGACCCCAGGTCTTCTAACGTAAATTGACAATGGGGTTGTTGTGGGCCGGCTGCGGACGTGATCAGAATCAGCAGTGACGGGGACCCGCCCTCCTGCCCCCTGCCCCGGGACGATCCTGCCCCCCTGGATGGCAGTCCCCGAGGCATTTCCGCCAGAGCTTTCGCCTGGTTACCAGTGAGCAAAACGCCCTGCTCCCATCTGGGTAAGGGCTTATGGCCCTAGGAGGCAGCCCCTGGGCCAGGGGAGGAAGGAAGGGAAACTGGGAAGTGTTTCTTGATCCCTCTCAAGCGCCAGGCCCCAGCGGAGCTCACCGTCTAATAGAAAATCCCCCAGGATCTCCCTTGCCTACAAACGTGTCCTTGCCACTGACGGCCACCATGCTGGCCACACGGGGCCCCTCAGCCGGGCTGGTCTGCAGGCGCTGAGTCCCAGCAGCTTATGATGGGCAGGACAGTTAGAAGCCCCAGCTCAGCGACCACCCCTCCTTCCAAAGCCTTCGAGGCTCCCCACTGCCCACTGAATGAATGGAGCCCAAATCCTTGCCTTGACATCCTGGGCCCAGACTTGTCTAAGCTGGAGGAGGGATGTGGCCCCCTGCCCTGGGATGCTCCCAGGACCTCTTTATCTTCTTCTGTAAGCACATCAGCGCATGGACTCTCCGGTCCCCTGCAGCTTGAAACAGAACTGTTATTAAAAGGGAAAAACTTTCCGTGTATGAGACTTCCTCAAGTCCCAACTAAGGCCTCACCTCCCCCAGGGAGCCTTCCTGGCCCCTTCCCTCTGGCCATGATCTCCTGTTTATCTCACTGGGAGCTTGCTTTGGATATACTGCTTTGCTCGCTGTCTCCCCCACTAGACTGTAAGCTCCTCGAGGGCAGGGCCCATCTTCTGCCTCTTTCTGAATCTCCAGCCCTAGCACAGTGCTGGGCACATAGTAGGTGCTC